AGGATCATGAAAAGAAAGATTTCTTAAAAACAGTAAAGGATCATGAGAAATCCATCCAGCAGCTTCTAGATAGATGCAAAGAGTAACATAAGATTGACTGCACTCAACGAAAAAGCAGAAGATAGTGCAAATGACACAAAAAACCTGTTCACAGAAGTCATGGCAGAAAACTTCCCAAGCACGGAAAAAGAACTTGACATACAATAAGTGAGGCATGTAGAACTCCAATTAGCCATGATAAAAAATTTCTACACCAAGGCATATAATAGTCAAGACTCCAGAGATTTGACATAAGCACAGAATATTAGCTAGATGTGGTGGTGCAAGCTTGTAATCCCAGCACTCAGGAGGCTGAGGCAGGAGGATCACTGTGAGTTTGAGGCCAGCCTGGGCTACAGAGTGAGTTTGAGGCCAGCCTGGGCTACAAAGTGAGCTCAAGGCCAGTCTGAACTGCATAATGAGACCTTGTCTCAAAAAGATGAAAAAACAAAAACAGAATATTAAAAGCTGTTAGAGAAAAGAAACAAGTCACTTATAAAGGAAACCCCATCAGAATCACAGCAGATTTATCAAAAAAACCCCTCAGGTTAAGGAGAGCTTGGAGTGGAGTATTTCAAGCCTTGAAGGAAAACAACTTCCAACCCAGAATGATGTACCCTCCAAAACTATCTTTCCAAACTGATGGAGAAATAAGACATTTCCATGATAAAGAACACCTGAGGAAATCCATGAACACCAAGCTAACACTCCAAAATGTTCTAAAGGGCATTCTAGAAAAAGACAACAAGGACCACAACTCCATGAACCTCAACAGATTCAATCTACTAGGGAAGGCAAACAATTAAACAGTGGGGGCAGGGAACCAACAACAGGAAAACAACATGACAAGGATAAGTCAATACATATCAGTTATAACCATCAATAGAAATGATCTCAGTTCACCAGTCAAGGCCAGGGAGATAGCTCAGTGGTACAAGCGTCTGCCTAGCATGTGCAAGGTCCTGAGTTAGATTCCCGGTACCAAAAAATCCCTAAACAAACAAACAAACACCAATCAAAAGAAACAGACTGGCAGAATAGATCAAGAAGCAAGATCCAACAATATGCTGGCTATAAGAAACACATTTAATTAAGAAATTTGAAGACTGAAAGTCAAAGGATGGAAAATAATACTCTACGCAACAGGAACCCAGAAAAAAGCCAGAGTAGTTATTCTATTTGGGGGTAAAGTGGATTTCAAGCCAAGACAGATGCAGAGAGACAAAGAAGGTCACTATATCCTTGTTAGGGGAACAATCCAAGAGAAAGAGATAAAAATCATAAATATATACGCATCAAATACCAGCATACCAAAATATACAAAACAAATATTAAAAGACATGAAAAATCAAATAGGCATTAACCCAATTATAATGGGGGACCTCAATACCCCACTCTCACAAATAGATCAACTAGACAAAAAAATCATCAAAGAGATATAAAAATTTAACCAATCTTTTGAACAAATGGATGTAATAGACAGCTACAGAATGTTTCCCCCCACCTCAGAATACACATTCTTCTCAGCTGTACACAGGACATTCTTAAAAACACACCACATACTAGCTCACAGAATGTGCTAAAGTAAATGCAAAGCAATTGAAGTTATCCAATGCATATTATCAGACCATTGTGCGATGAAATTGGAAATCAATAGCAAAAGAAACCACAAAAACTTCATAAACATGCGGACATATTTTCTTATTCTCTTTAATGGTTTGAGCAATCTTTCATTCTTACATCTGGTAATCTAAGCAATGCAGTTGAGGATAGCTATATGTAATGTAACAACCACTGTTGATTTGTATTATTTTGTCTTGAGACCCTGTATCACTTTGAATGTTCTTGCTTTGATTTGTTTATGTTCATGATACTGGTATGCTGCTACTGCTCTATTTTTTTTGTTTGTTTCTCATTTACTACTCTCTTTAAAATAAAATAATAATAATAATAATACCCTCCTGAACAACCAATAGGTCACAGATGTAATTAAAGAAGAAATCAGACAGTTTCTACAACTGAACAATAATGCCAATACAATATACTGGAACTTCTTCACTAGAAAAAGGGCAAGAGATGTCTCTTAGTGTGAAGTCGCTGGTTTATAATCCTACAGCTGGGAGGGGAAATAGTTGTTTTCCTGTATCTCTTTCTTCAGTGTTTTTCCAAATGCACACTTTGCATAAGGAAAGCGTTTTGGTGATAAAGATAACAAAAACTCCCGCAGTCATAACCCCCTCTTCTTGGTACTGAACACAATAAATCACACGCAGCAAGAATACAGCAAAACCCTGGGCTTCAGAGAACACGGAGCTGTGTCTGCAGGGGAGACCGCAGCAATGAGGGGCACAGCTACGTTCCCTGCCGTGTTTTGACCCTGCCTGAGCCCAGCGGGAAGAAGAACTGGGAATGTTTCACTTCTACACGCGGCGTGCGGCTCACCAGCAAGTCCTGGGGCGCACTTCAGAGTGCTCATTAGTGCTCCATCGCTCAAGCAGCACACAGCAGGGTTTGCGGGGTCCTCATTCACACCCTGCAGTTCTTACCACCCATGGTGCCCAAACAGCCGCAGAAGGCGGAGCATCGGGGCTGCCCTGGAGCAGGAGAACGACGTCTGGCTACCTGCAGGCCCAGCCCCAGCTGCCCAATGTGGGGACGTGCGAGTCCCCTAGAAACCGCGGGGAACACAGCAGTGCCCAGCTCAGGGCAAGGGAGAAGCACAGGGCCGACGGCCCTGCAGGGAGGAGGGCAGGCCGCCCCTACACGCTGCGCTCTCGAGGAAGCAACCCACTGCATGGATGCAACGCTGTGTGTCTGCTAGGGCTCAGGACGATCCGTGTGAGGTGACAATCTGCAGAGGGCCACACTGAAATGTCAGTGGGGACAGCTTCCATGAGGTGGGACGATAAAACTTAACAGTCAAGCCTTCAATCCCTCAATAACCACCTGTAGTTAAAAGAACTCAGCAGAGCGGAGAAAAACAGAGGCTGGGAGTCAAACAAACTTGCTTCACCACTAGTCAAAGCCAGGAGTGGTGGCCCACGCCTGAAATGCCAGCACTCAGGAGGCTGAGGCAGGAGGATCGCTGCCTAGAAGGCTTTCCTAGAGGGAAGACATTCCGGCTGCCAGTCTCCTGCCTTGGTGCACCTGGAAGTCTGACAAGTCGCCATCTCACAGCACCAGGAGCTGCCAGTGTCCTGCTTGCCACTGCCCCATTGACAGGCCTGGTCTTCCAAACTATTACGGAAAAAGAATTCACTGAGGAACATATAGAAGTGGTAGTTCTGCACAGTGTTGAAAAAACTAGTCACAGAGGGACCTCCTAACTTCTACCACTGAAAGGAAGACACTCTCAACTCCGGAACAAGCCTTTTGGATGTAGAACAAACCAGACAACATCCCAACTTTCCCAGATTTGTGATACTCATATTAAAACAAATTCAACACCGCACCGAGCAAGGAAGTAATGTTGAAAGCCACACAAATTAGCTAAGGGGTCATTCACCTCAGTCAAGTCACACATGAATTGCTCAAATAGGGATAGTCTGGGTTTTGTTTTGTTTTGTTTTGGTACCAGGAATTGAACTCAGGACCTTGTGCTTGCCAGGCAGGCACTGAGCTATATCCCAGAGCCCTCAAATAGGATCGCTTTAAGAGCATTTATTTATTTATTTATTTATTTAGGTTCTGGAGAATGAACCTAGGGCCTTTGGACTGAGCTACATCCTCAGGCCTTTTTGATTTTGAGGTACAGTCTCCTAAGTCACCAAGGTGCCCAGGCTGGGCTTGAACTTTTGATCCTCCTGCCTCAGCCTCCAATAGTACTGGGATGACAGCACTGTGAAACCACACGAGGCTGAGACTGAAATTAAAGCATAAGGCCCATCGTTGTGCATGGAGGAAGAGCTACCGTTGATTTAGAACTGGCAGGGCATCATTTACAAAGTACAGACAGGAGTCGGCACCTCCGATCGCCAAGGTTCGCCCCTCCTTCGCGGGGGCTTGCACTAAACTCATCACTCACCCTGAAGATGCCAATCCAGTCCTTTCGACGCGGGGTGAACTGCTGGGTGAAGATGTAGTAACAAGTGACGTCCCCTCCGGGGACGTAGAACTTGTCCACACTGTTGAAGACGACCTGCGAGAAGCTGGCGTGGTCCAGCAGCACGGCGGCCGACGAGGGATCTTCTTCCGCCGTCTCCATGGTGGGCCTGTCAGGAACGGAACGCAGCACGGCTCAAAAAGGTCCCGAACGCCCAGCTTCTGGGCTCTGATCCAAGAACATTCTGTTCAAGGCAATCAGGAGCAGCTTACTTTCTGTTTCCATCTGAGCAGTTTGCATTCCTGGCTTCGTATTTTTCTCACACACCCTTGATGTCTGCACACAGCTAGTTGTTTTCCTTCCTCTTAACAAAATAGTGTTGAGAAAAAAATCCTAGCTGGGAAATTGCGAGACCTCCGCTCTGCGGTTTTCACCCCAACAAGCCTGATTCTGGTTTTTTCACTCAATTCCTTTCATGCTATAACGGTGAGGCACTTCCATTTGGGAGACTCAGTGCTAGGAGGTGAGGGTGGGATTGAGGATAAAGAAAAGGAAAAGACGCTGTGGGACACACAATAGTGACATTTAAATCCCACTTTTTAAAGCCACGGCATTGGGCAATGCCCACACACAGGAAGGTTTTTTTTTTTTTTGGTACCAGGAATCCAACTCACAATCTTGCCCTTGCCAGGCAGGCGCTGTGCTGCTGAGCTATATCCCCAGCCCTTTTTTGTCTTTTTGAGACAGGGTCTCGCTATGCAGTTCTTCAGGCTGGCCTTGAACTCAAAAAAAATCCACCTGCCTCAGCCTCCCCAGTGCTGGGATTACAGACGTGCGCCACCACACCTGGCAGCTTTCTATTTTCTAACCAGGGTCAGATGATGACTTCTGGGTACAGCGTTTGTCCCTGGCCTGACCAGTTCGGCTGGCACAGCGGGTTCAAGGGGCTCGGTGCCAAAACCCAAAAAGGCAGGAATCTGATCTTGGGAACCCGTCACAGTCACCCTCCATTCCTGCTTCCACTCTCTCATCTTCCGCAAAGCTGCACTGTGCACAGCTGCTGCTCTGAAAGGCGAGCTCGGCCGAGGGTGCGGACGGCTGGTTACGGCCTCTCGGTTCTTAGCTGAGAGGGGAGCACACACATGCGCGCACACGCACCCACACGAGCACCCACGCAACGACATTAAAGAGCTTCTAGCCCAGGCTTGTGCTGGCTGAAGGAAACCCTTTCTCTCCCTTCCTCTGAGACGCCACCTGGAAGTCACTACCTGAAAGAGTCAACAGCTTTGTTTCCCTGCTTATTACGAGTGCAAGAGGCTCCTCCAGGCTCCTCACATCCAGCTCTTTCCATTCCAGAGGGCTCAGCAGTGCCCTCTGCATATGCGAAGCTCAACCATTCTTTTTTTTTTTCCCTGTGGTGGTTGTTTTGAGACAGGGTCTCACTATGTGGGTCAGGTTGGCCTTGAACTCATGGTGATCCTCCTGCCTCAGTCTCCTGAGCCCTGGGATAAAAATCAATGTTTTTTGAAACACAGGTTAAACATCAGGAGAGGCGGGAAGCCTCTTGCTCATGAGATCAGCGATTCTCAAGGGTTTTTGCTCCTCTCTCAATTTTACCATTCTCTGGGAGAAATGGGCTCCACCAAGGGCTCAAGAAGCGATCTTTGTGAGAAATCAGTCTAGAAGCCATCACTGGGGGTGTAGGGGAGGGAAGGACATGGAAAGAAAATTGAAATGATTTAAGCATCAGCTTTTGCCAGCTGTGGTGGCGCACACCTGTGATCCTAGCACTCTGGAGGCTGAGGCAGGAGGCTCAAAGTGAGTACAAAGCCAGTGATGTCAATGTCAGCCTGAATTACACAGTGAGACCCTGTCTCAAAAAACCTCTAACATTGGGCATGGTGTCGCATGCCTGTAATCCTGGTAAATCAAGAGGCTGGCCGGGCGTGGTGGCGCACACCTGTAATCCCAGCACTTGGGAGGCTGAGGCAGGAGGATCATTGCGAGTGTGAGGCCAGCCTGGGCCACAAAGTGAGCTCAAGGCCAGCCTGAACTGCATAGCAAGACCCTATCTCAAAAAAAAAAAAAAAAAAAAAAAGGAGGCTGAGGCAGATGGATCACCACCAGTTCCAGTTCTAGGGCAGGCGCTGTGCCACTGAGCTACATCCCCTGCCCACGCCAGCAGTTCTAGACCAGCTGGGCTACGTAATGAGTTCAAAATCAGCCTGACCACATAGCCAGACTGGTTTCAAAAAGCAACAACAAAAAGCATCAACCTTCCTTTAAACACTCTTCTCACCACAGAACCTCTCTACCATGCACTTCTTTTTTGTTTGTTTGTTTTCCGGTACTGAGAGTCAAACTCATGACCTTGCACTTGCCAGGCAGGTGCTGTGCCGCTGAGCTAAATCCCCAGCCCACTACCATGCACTTCTAATTCTGGCAGTGATTCAAGAGGCAGAGAGAAGCTTCTCTTCACAAGAAACGTAAAGTTAAATTTAGAATCCAGAGAGCCACTGAGTCGGGAGAAAGTAGTGGGATGTATTAGGTACCCGTGAATCGCGGAATGGCGTTCCACCTAATTCCTTATTCCCACCTCCAAATCAAAGACAGGGAAACAGGGCCGGGATATAGCTCAGTGGCATAAGTGCTTGCCTGGCAAGGCTGAGGTCATGAGTTTAATTCCCAGTACCAGGAAAAAAAAAAAAAAATGAAACCATCAAGTATGGGAAAATAATGCAGCATCCACAAACTGCCAGGCACTTTCCTTGGCGTCTGATGTCACTGTCACTTTTTTTTTTAAACTGGGTTTCTTTCTTTTTTTTTTTTTTTGGTACTGGGAATCGAACTTGGGACCTTGTGCTTGCCAGGCAGGCGCTTGTGCCGCTAAGCTGGGTTTCCGAAAGGATTGGGCCCTCCAGGGAGCGGGCTGTAACAGGAATATACTTTCTAATGAGTTTCTTGAATTGGCTCCCAGCTTCTAAGACAACCTGACACATTCTCAACTACGTGATGTATGAACCCCGAGGCCACTCCCCTCCAGGGCGCAGACTCTCAGGCTGGTCCCGTTCTCCCTCACCAAGCCATGACTGCACGGCCGCTGTCAGCACAGAAATGCCTTTCTACCAGCGTCTCTCCAGAGGGACCAAGGCCACAGGTAGCTTCTGAGTCAGCTCACAGAGAGAAATCCAACGCTTACAGAGAGAGAGACACGCTCATCAACTCTCCGTTTCGGAACAGTAAAAATAAAGACTAGGACACATCAAACCCACATTTACTCTCACTCCTTCACCCTTCTGATTTTCCTTGATAACTCTGCTAGCAACTGGCAAAATGGATGAACTGATTTGATTAGGTCTGTTTTTTTTTGTTTTTGTTTTTTCTCCGGTACCGGGAACTGAACTCACGACCTTGCACTTGCCAGGCAGGCGCTTTTGCCACTGAGCTAAATCCCCAGCCCCTTAGGTCTGTTTTTTTGAGACAGGGGCTCAGCAGCACAGTGCCTGCCTGGCAAACGCGAGGTTGAGTTCAGTTGCCGGTACTAGAAAAAAGAAAAGCAGATACAGGGTCTCCTATGCAGCTCAGGCTGGCCTTGAACTCGAGGCCATCCTTCTGCCTCAGCCTCCTCAGTGCCACAGTCATAGGCGTACCCACCACGCCCGGCCCATGGTGAACTGAATTGAATCCCACACCTCCCTGGGCTTGGGCAGACACTTAGTCCAGGGCTCACTACAGGTACCGACATGCGGATGGCCCTTTGACAGAAAAAGCAACAACACAAACACTGCTCTTCAGATTCCTGAGCCACTTACTCCTGTCCAAATTTTCCAAGTTTATTCTGGTTCCTTCCCTAAAATATTTTACAGTATTTTGGAAAACTTTTCTACCCCTGGAGGCCTTTGAAACTACTCCTCAAACTGGGTGTGGTGGAGCACACCTGTAATCCCAGCACTTGGGAGGCTGAGGGAGGAGGAGCCATAGTTTTTCTTTTTTTTTTTTTGTCTTTTTGAGACCGGGTCTCACTATGCAGTTCAGGCTGGCCTTGAGCTCACATTGTAGCCCAGGCTGGTCTAGGAGGATCCATAGTTGAGGCCAGTTGTGAATTGGCTATGGGGTTCTACACAAGCCTTCAGCCATACAGCCTCGGCGCCGCAATGCTAGGAGGAGCAGAGAGAGATCGTTCTGTGAAGGAGCACACAGGCAAGTGGTGACAGAGCTTGAGGAACAGGGCAGGGGTCTAGGCCAGAAGCCACGGGGCCAGGGTTCATCTCACTTCTACACCCAGGAGCCAGAGACCGTGAGCAACGCCCCCCCCTCCCCCCCCCCGCCTCGGGTGAGGGCTGTTTCTCATCTGCTCAGTGCGCAGACCAGGCTGGAAATCTCCCGAGACTCTCCCAGCCTACGGAGGAGCCTAAGAAGGCGGAAGTGAAACTCATTTCTAGTTCTTTTCATCTGAGAAGATAAGGAGGCCGGACCGGTCAGCACTAGAGGCAAGCTTTTACACGGTGCTGGCGCTATGCGACTTGAAAGAACACCCGGCAAGTTGATGTCAGGGGACTTGGGGCTCCTGGCCCCCCTTTGTAATGCTCCTCCTGCTCCACAGCTGCCCTGTCTGCCAAGGGTAGAGTTTCAAGGCCCCTGAGGCCCGCGACAAAGGGAGCCACGCAGGTGCTCTGCAGCCATGGGGTATGAAAACCTCCGGTGCGAAGTCCACAGTTTCACACGGTTTTTCCAAACTGTACCAGGCAACTCACCATAGATCGTCCATCTTATTCTACTAAGCCCCAACCTGGCCACTTGTTGGTTTGCAACTGGGCCAAAGAAGCCAAGATATAAAAAAAAGTTTGAACACGTCTGGAGATGAAATTATATTTGGGTACAAACATTAAAATAAATTAGGCTGGGGCTGGGGATTTAGCTCAGCGGCACAGCACCTGCCTGGCAAGCGCAAGGTCCTGAGTTCGATTCCTGGTACTGGAAGGAAAATAAAAACTAAAAAAACAAACAAATAAATTAGGCTAATGGGGGGGCAGGTCACACGGGGTGTGGTGGCTCATACTTGTCCAAGCACTTGGGAGGCTGAGGCAGGAGGATCTTGGTGAGTTCCAGGCCTGCCCGGGCTACATAGTGAAGTCCAGGCCTGCCTGGGCTACACAGTGAGACCCTGCCTCTACAGACAAACAACAAAGAAAAAGTATCAGATCGAAGTCTCCTCTTCGTCCTCCGCTGCCTACAGCATCCTAGAATTGCAAGGTAGAAATGCAGAGGGCGGCTTCGGGTATCAAAGTTATTGGAAGAGGGAAACTGAGGCCCGAAGTAACTTGCCCGAGGTGACGCGGCAGAGTCCCACCTGCACCTGGAAGTCCACGCGGGGACGTGGGGGACCCTCAGGGATCAGGACCCGCAGACCTCAGAGGGAGGGCACCGCGCCCCAGCCCGGTGCCCTCTGTCCCCAAGGCCAGGAAGGGAACGCGGTGCCTCCGGGCGCCCCGCCCACCGTCGCCACGGAGAGGGGGGCCGAGGGGAGGGAGGGGAGGGAGGGGAGGGAGCGCCGGGACCGCCGAGGCCCACCCGGCCCTGCTCAGGACCGAGGCCCGAACTCTGGGACCCTCGGGAACTCACCCAACAGCGGTCGCCCGCGGCGTCGCAGCTGAGGGGCGGGGCCGGGACAGAACAACTTTCCGGGTCGGCCCCGCCCATCGCGTCACAAGTCCACGAGCCCCGCCTCGCCGCGGGGACCGCTGGGACTTGTAGTGCGCTGTGATGGGCGGCGTCCGCTGACCTTGGGGCTTCCCTTACTGTACCGCTAGCTTGCCCAAGGGGTGTCCTGCACCCCTAGGGCGGGTGTTTGCTTTCTTTCTGTCCTCCTTTCTTTTTCTTTCTTCCTTTTCTTCCCTCCCTGCCTCCTCTTCCTTTTTTTTTTTTTTTTTTTTTTTTTTTT